TTAAAAAGCTAAAAAGTAAAACCTTAACGAAGGCCCCACTTTTCTTAAGCAGCACCGACCGAAATCATTAATGCATGTAACTCCACGTTGACGAAAAATCCCAAGACTTTTATGGCAGCCATTAATTCACTTACTGATAAACAGCCTATGGTTTAGGTCCTTAGGACAAGAAAACGTGAACCTTCACGACACGTTTTGAACCCAAGAAAAGTAAACAGCAATTGGTGGCAAAGATACACTGTACAATTACTAGAACTTATAATTACCGACACGCAATTCTAGCAAAAAAAAACAAAAAAAAAACAAACAAAAAACGGAAACGCAAACAATTGCTCATACTTTGATGACCACTGACCTATAAAATGGCACCCCCAAATATACGTTACGTGTATGACTTTTTGCATCTGCGAATTTGAACGTAAATTCTAGAGAAATTTTGTCAAAAAGTGTACTCTACTCATGATATTACACAAGATTTTTTTTTTTTTAATTTTTTTACCATACTGAAGTTGCATAGTTTTAAACGTGACGTCATATTGATTCTTTAGAAAAAAAGAAATAAAATTCTAATAACATGGAAAATTAAATGGGAGATAAATCCATCATGAGATAATCTTATGATACTCCAAACACGAATTTAATCTTTATGTTTTAAGTCACGATATTTCGTGATCATATTTATTATCACGTTCTTCATTACTCACGATGTGCGTGATTATTACACAATAATACTCAAATAACACATATAATTCCACAAATAATCTATAGAAGACTAAGAGAGAGAACTCACAGAGACGTATTTCTGTCACTCTCTAGTTTGTACATTATTATATAACTATTTATAACCACGTCTATCATAAATGGAATAAATACAATACATCTAATTCTTTTATTATTTTATTGAGAATAAGTTATCTGATTACTTAATCCGTTAAGATATTAAAAATATTCTATGATATTTTTAAAATGATACTTTCTCTTTTCATGTCTCATGATTTTATTCCAAATAAAATTCAAGAGTTGAGTTTTAACTATACACTATTATAGACGCCTCAAAGTCCAATCTTGTTTTAACCAAATGATACCTTTCATATTTATAAGACTTTCCTCAATCATCAAGGCATGATGGATTTTTCAATCGATAGAACTTTGAAAATTATATAAAATATTATTCTATTCACATTTAACTTTCAGATTGTCACATTCCAAAACTAAGTTTAACTCCCACCAAAAACCCAATTCCTTTTCCTAATCAGGACCACTACTCAATTCATGAAAAATAAAGGGTGCGTTTAGAATTAGTTTTAAAATGATTTTGTTTTTAATAAAAAGTAAAAATGAGATTATTTTCAGAATCATTTTGACAATGATTCTGAAATTGCATTTAGTTGGTTTTTTAAAAGATTGTTTTGAGTATAATAAAAAAGTAAAATCGTGTTTAATTATAATTATTAATTAATATATTATAATATTGTTGATAAGTATTAGAAAATAAAAACAGAAAAGTGAAAACAACTTTCAACTATTTTTTTAAATTTTTTTATAAAAATTATTTTCACTGTTTTTATTTTTATTTTTATTTTTAAAATATTTCTTAAATAAATGCCGTTTCATTTTCAATTTTTTTTTCTCCTTGAAAAACGTTAAAAACGTTTCGGAAATGAAACCAAACACACCCAAAATAAAATAAAATAAATATAAGTCAAAATTGAATTACATCATCAACGTCCAAATGGAAAGCACACTATCAAAGCTCAAGTAAAAGGAAGACAGTAATAAGGAAAAGTAAACATATTTCTATTAACTAAAGACGAATCCACCAATGAAGAACATCCAGATCGATTGCTAGAGAAGCTAATTTAAGAGGGTCCAAAAAGAGAAATGAATAAAAGGAGACGTGAGCAAGAGAAATACTCGTGTCAAAGTTTAGTTCGCTAATTTAAATTGAGATGTGACTTTATATAAAATTTTTTTATTATAATAAAAAAATTAAATATAATTATTTATAAAAATTTTTTACTATAAAAAAATTTAAATTTTAAACTTAAATTAATAAAATAAACGTACCCTGAAAATAGTCGAGCAAAAATTTGTAGTCTATCTGAACCGCAATCAAGTGCCTAACTGTGCCTAACTCGAGAATTCTTCCTTTCATACTGCCCAAGAATTAATTCGTCTCCTTTTTCTTTTCTGAATTATTAGGATTCATGTACTTTGAATTTTCTACTAGTACGATGCAATATTCCTGAGCATTTAGATCCTCGATGATACTTTTAGGTTAAGAATTTGAGAGTTTTTTTTTAGTAGAACTAAAAAAAAAAAAAAAACTACCAATATTTTTTTTTTTATTTTTAATACGTTATTAAATTTGTACTGTATTATTTTTTTTATTTTGATATGATTTTAATTAAATATGAAAATAAATTATTATAATTGGTGGAAGCTCTACCAAAAATGATATCATAACATGGCATTTAAGATTATCCATAAATTCATAATATTGAAACGTTACGTTGGACTATTTTGCACTTCTTCCTGTCTAAAGTTAAATGGAAAAGTCATCAAATTGGCCGATTACGTGAAAAAAAAACCCATTGTCGATTTGATGGGAAGGTACTGCATTCAATTGTTACAAATGTGTGGATGTATTTTTATTGACCCTTTTTTTTTGACATATGAATGTCATTTTTTATAGAATCTATGGGTGTTAAATTTGCAAAGAATTTTGTTTTCTTTAATTTTTCATTTTCTTAAGATTTACCGTAACATGTAAGCGATTGACTAAAAAAAAAAAAGAAGAAAAAGAACAAAATAAGTGCAGCATGAAATACTTTGTAGCTAATTTCAACTAAAATTAATTACAACGTATGAGTAGAAAAAGGGTCACATTTGATAAAATAATATTTCAGAGGTGGTAAATGAAATATTAAAGTACAAATATATTTAACAAATCAATAACAGAAAATTAGAGAAATACATTTTTAAAATAAAAGATTTTAGGGGAAAAGGCAGGAAAAAAAGTAAACGGAACACCAAAACTTGAATATCAACTGAAAATGCCCATTTTGTTCGAAAGACAAAACTAAAAAAAAAAAAAAAAAAAAAAAAGACGAAAGACGACATGATAGATACGTAAAAGGAATGAACATTAAAAATAATGAAACTCTCTTATAGGAAAAATAATTAGCGGATGCAATTTGCAGAAAAAAAGACTTAAATGGTTTATACGAGAAAATAATACACGAAATGGGTTGCAAGATAAAAGGAGTCAAGTAGTATAAAATTTATAAGGGCTACAATTAAAAAAGAAAAGAGCATATCATAGAAACTATCATTTAATGAAACACATTTAAAATCATAAGACATAAAAAGAAAAAGAGAGAAAAGGAGAAGTAAAAACAAAAAATAAGCTGAGCATATTTAAGAAAAAAAATATTTTGGTCATTCAAGTTAAATTAAATTAAAAAAATTAAGTGTAGATGTCAGAAGGGAAAAGTTATTTAAGTAGAAACATATTTGAGAAAATTATTTCATTAGGAAAATTCGTTAAAAAAATATTTTCAAAAGTCATTTTTTGACAAAATAAGTTTTAGAGGATGCAAGAAAGACGTTAAGTGGTGGCATATTTGAAAAAGAAAATAATAGGAGTAAATTTAGAAAAAACAGTATTTTCAATGATATATATTTGAAGAATATAAAATTTTGGATAAAAAATAATTATAGAAAAGTAAGAAAAATAAGAAAGATTAATCCTTAGCAAGGAAGAAAAGTGAAAAAAGAAAAGAAACAAAGGAGAAAACGACAGAGTAAAGAAAGCAAGAACAAAGAAGGACATAATAATTGAACAAGTTTTGTACGGTAAAATGAGTAAACTTTCCTTCCTTAATAATATAGCCTAATAGATAAATAATAGATAATAAATGAGAATTTTTGTTTTTCTTTTCTTTTTGGGCTAAAGCTATAGACTCTACTTTAGGTTTTGAAACTGAAGCTCATTCAGCAG